TATAAATTATGATATAATTAAATTATATGAGGTTGAGTTTTAATAGATAATTTTGTAATTATATTAAATATTAAGTTTTTTCCGTAAAAATTATAATAAGAAAGGTCAAAAATGAAACTTTTAATTTTACATATAAAATTATTATAAATCTGTTATGATTTTTTACGACTTAAAAAAATAATCTGAAAAAAATACTAAATACACATATATTTAAAAACACTCTATAATTACCAAAAAAAAAAAAATTAACTATAATCCCAAATGCACCCTAACACTAAGATGTTAGAATAAAAGATTGAAAAAGGCAAGAGTACTTATATAAAGAAATTAAGTATTAATTAAAAAAATATTATGAGAAATTTAATTAATTTTATAGGTATTTTCCTTCTGTGTAATAAATATTAATATTAATTCTTTTAACATCAAAAGAACTAAATAAAAGAAAATGAATAATATTTTATTTATCATGAGATATTAGCAATTATTTTGAAATGATTTTGTCATAACTCAAAATTTTGTTAAAAAAATATATTTTAATTAAATAATAAATAAATTAAAATTTTACTTTAAATTTATTTTAATTAAATTTTTTCTCATGTTTAAGGGACTTGATCGTGAAAAAACGAGAACGCTTGAAAAAAAATCGAACTCAAATTTATGAAAAAGGCAAAAGGGATGAAATTGAAGGCCCGTGAAAGAAATGCTGGTGAAGTGGATTGAAACCCAAATAGCGTTAAGCCCATGCCATCAAATTCAATAGGCTTTCTAAGACCCATTGCTCATTTTCAGCCCACAAACCCATTCCTAATTCATGGTCCCCACATTTGAAGACAACTCAGCAATAGAACGGCACCTCCAGCAACGTGGAAGCACCGCAGCGAACACCCGAAATGGTTCCCTCGTCCACAATATGTTCAAAGGTTGCTGCTTTCCTTATTCGGACGATTATCCGGCTAAATTACAAAGGGAAGCTTCGCAGAAGGTGGTTGAGGGGCAGACTTTGGAAAAAGCTGGCCTAAAAACATAAAAAAAGACCTTCCTCACTTCTACCCGAATCCCAACCCCTTAACTCCAAATTTTGCGCACACTTCTACTGTCTTATGATTTGGACAACTAGCTTTTCTAACCCTCCTTAATTAATAATTTTAATAATTACTTTTATTTTTAAGTGTCCATCAACAGATTCGTTTGCTTATTCTTCTCTCATATCTTTTTTCCTCTATATATATATTGTTAACAGAGTTACATTGTGAAGAATGAAGGAATGGAGAAATGGAAAGAACTCCAACTCGAATCTAATGGCATTTTCTAATGAGAAATGCCATGTGGGGAGCAACTGATTGCTCTATATACTATGTGGGGAGCAACTGGTTGCTCTATTCGGAGCTTCTCCTTCCTGTGTCTTTTACTATGTTGAAGAATTTCAATTTCAATAAACATATAGCCTAAACAAGTACTGAAGTAAGCATCTAGTTCATGTTGCTCTTATTCATTCTCTAAATTTCAATCAAACATAAAGCATAAACGATTACTAAGCAAGTGATTATACATTCTCTATGTTCAATCTTTGAGCACCAAAGCCTCTAGCTCATCTATCTTAATCTTAATTCCAATATTAACTTTATATAAAATTATTGTAATAACAAAATTCTCACTAAAAATCTCAAATAAATACTTAATGATTATTTATTAAATTCATCAATAAATATCCAATAAACTTCAATTAAGTAGTCTAGTTATTAATTATAATTAACTATATATATAATTATGCCTTTCAAAATAAATATAAAATTATTGTAATAACAAAATTACTCTTAAAAATCTCAAATAAATCCCCAATGAATTTTCATTAAAATTATTACAAAAAAACACCATTTCAATTAAATAGTGCAATTATAAATACAACTTGTTCAACAATAAGATGTTAGAACTAAAGATTGAAAAAGTGAAACCCACTATGCTTATATCAAGAAAATAAGCCTTAATTACACAAATAGTATGAGAAATTTGGTCAATTTGTAAGTATTTTCCTCATGTGGAATAAATAGTAATGCAATTCCTCTAACATCAAAAGTGATAAACAAACGAAAAAGAAGAATATTGGAAAAGCTTGACATTTTGGCAAAGAAAATGATTGATATATATTCGATTTAATATATTTTTTTGATATTTTTTTACTTTAGTTATTAAGTATATTATAAATACAATTAATTCAATCGATTTTTGTATTATATATATAATTGTATTTTTAAATTTATTTATCTTTAATTTTAGATCATAAATAATAAACTTTTAATAAATATATGATGTAATATATTTGTAATACCCCAAAATTTGGGGGTATTTTAGCATTAAATTGGGGACTTATTTGAGGAAAAATATTGTTTTGGGGTTTAATCGTAAAATTTTAAAAGTTGAGGGACTTAAAAGAAAGAAAATTAGGATAAGGATGAACTGCTTTTTCTTTTCTTTTTCTTTCTTTTCTTCCTCATCAGCCGCGTGTCTGCTCTGTTCTTCTTCTCGATTCTTCCTCCCGACAAGCCCCCAAGCCACGGACTCTCTCCCCCTTGAAAAACCCGGTGAGATCTTGATGAATTTCTCCTTCTTTTCTTGTTCTTGAACCCAGAAACTCCCCCCTCTCTGTTGGAAATTCCAGATCTGCTCTGCGTCTTTTCCCCCTTCTGCTGTTCGTCGGCTTCAGCTTGTGGGTTTGAAATTTGGGCATTTTTCGGGTAAGCCACAGCCGTGAAAATCATCTCTTTAGCTTTGATTTGGCTTGGGTTACTCTAATCTCTGTTTTGGTTCTTGAATTTGGGTTAATTCCGTGAGCTCCCCCCCCTGCACTTGCCGCCGACTTCTTCTCCCTGCTAGCTCCGGTTTTGCTTGTTAAATTCCGGTATGTGACAGCCCTCCAACCCTGAATTTGTCCGTTGATTTGCTGCCTTGAATCTTGAATTTTCTGCCTTTGATTTGCCCTTGTACTGTTCGGGAATTTCTGTTGAAATTGGAAATGAATTCTGGTAGCTTTAAGCTATGTTTTTAAGTGTTGTTTAAGTAGAAAATTAGCTTGATTTGGCCTGTTGTGATTTTTGGAGAAAACCGGTCACTGTTCACTGCGGATCACTGTTCACGGGTACTGTTCACGGGTACTGTTTAATGGGCACTGTTTACGGCACTGTTCACATAACACTGTTCACACACCGAGGGCCAACAATTAACGGAGATTAAAATGTTTAGGTTGTGATATAAGAATAAATTTGGAGATGTCCAGTTATTGGGAGATTGATAGAAATAGCACCGTGATTAGGGGTAGTGTTAAAAGATGATTTTACTTTGGATTTGTGGTAGTATGGTTATTAATTCTTGAATACTGTGATTAGGTTCTGATCGTTCTGTCACCGTAGCACTTGGGTTAGCCTTCTATTCTGTGCGAGTGAGGTAAGTAAATTATGGTAAAGCCCTTCGATTTTAAAGCATGTTTTAAACTGTTTTTGAGATGGTGGCAAGGTTTAAAGTGATTTTAAATTGATTTTATCAGCATCTGAATGTAATTAAACTGAAATGGAAATTGTGATGGTTTTTATGAGAATTTCACTGTTTTTCTGGAATTGAGCATGATTGGGGTGAAAATGGGAATTTCATTGTTTTCTGGAATTGACCATGATTGAAATGAAAAGTGAGAATTTCATTGTTTTTCTGGAGTTATTGCACCGAGCATGATTGGTTTGAAATGAAACTGTTTTCATTGGTATTGAGTAGAGCATGCCTATTTGGAATTGACTGAACTGTTTTGATGAACTGAGAGTTACAAATTCTGAGTTTTCTGATAAATCCATGCCCACATGGATTTTTCTGGTTATTTCTGAAATTGGGATTGATTGTGAAATTCGGCTTCTCTGTAAACTCTGCATGGTTTTGTCTCAGATGTAGTCATGATTACTGATTACTGTGCCCGCTAGTGGGAGGTTTATAAACGCTAGTGGGAGGTTTATAAACGCTAGCACATGTCGACATGTTTAGTGATATGACCGGTCCATTCTGTAACCCTACCAATGGGGGTTAAACATTGGTAATTACTGTCGCCTGCCAGTGGGAGTTGTAAACACTGGCACCATTACTGACGCCTGCCAGTGGGAGTTGTTAAACACTGGCACTTCTGTAACCTTGCCTATGGGGTTAAACATTGGCAACTACTGTGCCCGTCAGTGGGAGGTTTATAAACGCTGGCCATGACTTATAGATGAGACTACTGAACTGAGTTTTATTCTGCATGAACGGTTTGTCATGAATGCTTTGCAACTGAACTGAATCTGATTTTGTCATTGAGCGTTTTAGTATATTAAACTGTTTATCTGGCATGCTTCAAAGTTTTACCCAAGGGCTATCCATATTTACTTGCTGAGTTTATCTAATAGTTTTCCTTGTCCACCATTTCAGGAAGCGAAACCGAGGACGGGGAAACCGAGGGGAGTGACGAATCAGAAGGCTAGCCATTCAATTGGGGTATAAGTTTTAGATTTTATCATCCTTTTGTAAGGTTGATTTTATTCATGAGATTTTGTGATTTGGATAAGTTTCGAGCCTTGTGCACTTGTGGGACCCGTTTCACGAGTGCACGGCGTCTGTCGCGCCTCGGATTTGGGTTCTGGGGCGTGACAATATTAAATTAAAATATATACTAATTAGTGTCTTTTTTGGCAATCATCTTGAAAAGATTTTTGTACTTCTTTTTTTTCTTGTTTCTTTCTTCTTTTGTCTTTTGTTCTCTTTGAATTTCAATTAAACATAAATAATAATGAATATTGAAGCGAGCATCTAGCTCCTACATCATGCTATTATTCATTCTTTGAATTTCAAAGAAACATAAAGTGTAAACGATTGCTGAGCAAGTGATTATCTATTCTCTACGTTTAATCTTGAAGTACCAAAGCTTCCGGCTCATCTTATCTTAATCTTAATCTTTATTCTAATTTTAATTTTTTAGAAAATTATTGTCATAATAACAAAATTATCCCTAATAATTAATATCAAATAAATATACAATAAACTTTCTTTAAATTAATCCATAAAATAATCCGCTTCAATTTTTTTTTTTTGGGGTACAGCAATGGGCCTCAATTTTTTTTTTTGTGGTACAGCAATGGGCTTCAATTAAGTAGTTTAATTATTAATTATTTTTTTTTTTGGCTAACCAAAAATAAACTAGAGTAATATAATGATTAATTATTATATATTGCCTATAAGTCAAATAACAAATATAAGGACTCATAATTATTTACTTAATTTGTTTAACTAATTTGTTTAACTAACATGTTACCTATATTTATATAATTGAAATTTTACATATATCTATTATATTTAATATTTATAAAATAATAATAATTTTTAAAAATAAAATAAGAAAATATAAAAAATAAAAATAAAAGTTAAGAAAGACATATTAGCCAAATAAATCCTATACACAATAATAACAATTCATATAAATAATAAATTCTAAACTAAACACATAATACATGTAATAATAATATTTTATATTAAATCTTTTCTTTTTATAAGCTAAGTATATAAATATATATTTATAAATTACTCAATACTTGATGGATTAAATACAAATATAGGTCTTCATGTATTTGAGTAGATATCAAATCTAAAAAGTTGCACCCAAAAATTTTTAAATCAAGTACAACAAAAGAAAAAAAGGAGTCATGCTTAAAGGATTAAATTGCAGGTTTAACAAAAAAAAAAAAGAGTCATGATTGACCATTTCGACAGAATTTTTACTACCAAAAAGGCTTTCGATCCACGTCACTATTCAAATTACTTTCATTTGCGAGACAATACTTTACTAACAAGATTATAAATTGGTTTGCCTTTGCCGTTCTCCATCCACGCATCAATCAAAGGTATGACTATCTTCATCCTCCGTTAAGCGAATTTTTCCCATAGAGAACCTAGTTCCTCTTCAGTGGATGTCGAGCTCCTATCCTATCAACCTTCCATGAGTCCTACCCCTACTTACTCCCTTATTTCTCTCGAAATCAAACTCTTCAAAGCTCAACTTGCCTATTCACACTAGAACCGTAGCAAAAAATGCACCAAAGCTGCCGCAAACAATACACTAGATTACACTACTGCAAGAATCGGATAATCAGACCGAAATTTTGGTCCGGATACATTAAAAATCGGTCCGAATATATATATATATCCAGATTGATATTGGTCCCTATAGTTGATCTGAAAAAACCTGATACGAAAAAATATAATATACAAACCGACAAAATCGATCCGTATATATATAATATATGGACCGAAATCGGTCCGGATATTTCAGTAAAAAATATAAATGGTTGTTTAAAAATTGAAATAAGCGGACCGAAATTGGTTCGGAAAAAATAATATAATAACATAATAAAATATGTACGGATTGAAAATGGTCTGGAAATGTGGCGGAAAGAGGCATACCAAATATATTCGGACCAGTATCGGTCCGAATATGGAGGATCCAACAGCAACTTTTAAAACTTACGGCCTCAATCTGTCCACTTCGGAAACTATGTACAAACCGTTTTCGGTCTAAAAAGTTTGGACTTTCTTGTAACTTTTAAAAATTACTATCCCAACCGATGCCATTCTCAAACTATATCTAGACCGTTTTCGGTCTGAATATGTTGGACTTGCTTGTAACTTTTAAAAGTATCTCTCCCAACCGGCGCCATTCTCAAACTATATCCAGACCGTTTTCGGTCTGAATATGTTGGACTTGCTTGTAACTTTTAAAAGTTTCTCTCCCAACTGGTGCCATTCTCAAACTATATCTAAACCGTTTTCGGTCCGTAAATATCTTTAAAGAAAAAAAAATAAAACAATAAAAAATAAAGAAAACAGATTTATTTTATTTAATAATTACACAATATTACCAAATAATGCAAAAATAAATTTTACAATTCAAAATAAATGCATTTATAAAAAAATAAAATATGCTTATAATAATTACTTAAAATAATTACTTAAAATATGTAAAA